AAACACTAAAAATTGTACATTGCTAGTTTTATTAACACCATACGTAAATGACATTGATTACTGTTGCGGAAAATCATATTTTAGAGTCAGCTTTGTATATAAAGCAATGATTTTGCATGCATTCTTGGGAACAGCAGAAATGACTTAGAAAAAACATTCTAAGTACAGTGTTCATTCCGTGCAATGGGGCATAAATAAAAGGTTCTCGTAAAATAGACACCTTATTTTACACCACAGAAGACAAGCAAAAAGTAATATGGATACCCCGGTTAAAATACATCGATAACTCTATTAATACCAGTCCTAATTTAAAGGAAAAAGTTATGTGAACAAAATAAAAGTATTCTGTACCACTAAGCATGCCTTCACGGTTTAGACTAGGAGTCCCAAAGTTTTTTAAGCATGTTTTCTAATATCTTATGACGATAAGCCCCCACCCACCCCACTCCACCCCACACCGTTCTGTTTTCACTCAGCGGCTGGCCAGCGGTCCGTGTATGAGATAATCATAGCGATCCCTTACTGAACACCGTTCTTGTCGATCAGAAAATCAAAATACCAGCATGATATTGCCTCGAAGAAGAAGCAGTAGTGTTATTTGATTCGTACTTCACATTTGAGTCCAAGCTTGGGTGACCCAGGTTATTTCTTATGGTGGACTGACGAGGGGAATTTGAACACTAGTTGTGATTGAATTGTTGGAAGAAATGGTCGCATGGGAATGTAGGAATGGTAAGTATTAAGAATAATTTGACATTTTGCTGCGTGAATAGAAAGTAAAGTTTATTTGAATTGCTTTTGCATGTATTTCTGACGGTTTTAGATCTACCTGCTCGATTTGTGTCTGCAACGCTTCATGTTGATAAGTCCCTCAAAATGGCGGCCAAACTTGGAGATTGCCGAAAATTAGGTAAGTTCGTGGAGTTACAAAGTTTTCGTAAAGGTCTGGCCGCAAAGTTTTTTTTCTGTAGTTACCTTTTCTATGGCATCTACTTCCTAACTATGTTAGTTGGATCAGTTAAGAACGCCTCACTTTTTCAAAAATTTACTTTGAATTTGATCGGTTTTCGCGTGTGTGACTTAAGCATTTCGATAAGGTGTCATTCAAGTCTTCCTGTCTCCTTGATTGAAGTGTGATGTTCACGAAAGTCGCCTCGACAGATAAGATAGAATTAATATAAATGGCTGTGGTATTTGTTTTTTGCTGAGTTCCGTAGTTTTTTTTAAATTGTCCTCCATAGTTGTCTCAAATTAAAGTCTTGAAAAGTGTCACGACAGGCCTTCGCTCGAGTGAAATTTCATTTCCGTAAAACTTTGAAAAATAAAGAGAACCGATCAAACGGATTGTGGTTTTAGTATAGGCACATGAATGTCTTACAACCCACAAGAAATGAGGGAAATCTGTGTCTCAAGCAAAATCGACCGGACCGCTTTTACAGAGACACACTCTTAACTCCGACCACACTCCTTTAAATCGTGACGATGGCAGTTTACTATCTGACACCTATTTGCGTTTGGTCAGAAGAAATGGCTGCTAGATAGTTAGTTAGTTGTTGCGACGACTAGATCACCCCTGATGAAGGAACTAGATAGGAGTGTTCAAACGTTGAGTCTATGAATTGTAATTCCTCGGTTACATTTATGAAATCCTTAAACCAGAGTAGCATTAACCATGTCTGATTTTCAACCTGGTTGCCTTGTGAACTTTAATATATATTACCTTTGGATGTTGATTTGTGAACCAATACTTATCAATATTTGTTTATTCCTGTTTTTTTTGTTTTTTTTGTTCGGTTTTGTCAGGAGAAGCTGGTTGTAACAAGAGTGTTCGCGGCATCTTCTTCACACTTGAGAAATCTGCCAGTAACCTTTTGAATAAAAGCCCTCTTGCAACATACATTCGACCAATAAAAAACGAACCTGTTCGTTTGGCAATGCTCATGTCAGTAAGCGGAGGAATGCAAAACAATATCGTCAACATCGGTGAAGTGAAAAACTTTCTCTCCAGCATTATTTCACTGTTACCTGATCTGCAATATGTCATCATAAAAGCCAAACAGGTTATGCCACATGGTGAAATTGCTCTTCAAAAATCGTTAGACGTTGTTTCTCAAATTAAGGTCTCAGTAGGCGAATTGAAAGAGACGTTAACTGGAGATAAAATAAAAGTTTCACGAGCCCTGAAACTCTTAAACCGTATAGTTAATAAGTTAAAATACTTAAAAAGCATCACAGATGTCATGAGAGATCATTTCCCCACAACAAGCAAAAAAGGAAAGTATACAGAGCTCTCAAACAGAATTGATGAGATTAGGGAACGATTTCCAAAAGGGTTACGCCTCAATTTTGACGGAGAACCAATTGACCAAATTTTTAACGGAATAAGCTTCAAATTTAGAGGAAATCTTTGCATGGGAGACCTGTGCTTTAAGGAATTAAGCACAACAGTTGATTTCCTTACGGACAAAAACTGCCTTTCTAATGCACTTCATACATCAGTATTCAGAGGCAGAGGAGAAGCTTTAAGCCAGATGGCTTTAGGTCAAGACAACATACTGACTCTTCCTGCGGGACACGTTGTTGAATTCATCTTTCCGAGAGACTCTAACGCGGTGTCAGCTCATTTTGTTGGAAGAAGTAATCTTTTGGCCGTTAGTCAACGCGTTAAAGTTTCGTTGAATAAGAATCAACTTTCATTTGAAACGCAAGGGAAGATATTTGATAGATATATGGCGAACATGCATGTAGTGGCAATGACTGGTAATGCTACAAATTGGGGCTCCTCAGTTTTCACAGTTAACGGACGAATGACGGATTCTTCCCACCTTTCAAAACGTCTCCAAGGTCGAGTGACAATCCTTGCCAATTTCTTGGCAGAAAGAGCCGCCAAACGAGTTAGAAGTTGTGAGAGATCGATATTGTATACTGAAGAGAGGCTACAAACCGCAAAGGAATTGGTTAAGAAGAAAGAGTTAATATTCAACAAAGCGTCATTAGAAAAGCAACGGAGGCTCTCCAAACTCCAAAACGTAAAAGCTGCATATGGGAATGCAGCAGCAGAGCTTGAAACTTCCCTTGCCCAATTTCTGGAAGCAAAGCGGAACGAAACATGCCAATTTTTAAAATGTAATTTCAGCGACTCTAACACTTATACACCAGCGGTTTGTCATAAGCCAATCTTAGTGAATTATACCATTCCAGTTTGTCACAAAGTAAAGGAAGCTCTGAAAGAAGAAGTTATCGTTTCAAAGGTGGTAAAAGTAATCGAAATGGTTGAAACTTCCATAGTCAAACACCGTGGTAACTGTAGGCAACGAATAGCCTTAATTAGTGTAATAGTTGGCTGCGATACTTACCAAGTAAAGATACCTGGCCCGAAAGCTCCAGTTACGCATCACGTAACAAAAAACTACCGCGAATACAAAAAGAAGGAAATCGAAAAGTTCATTTGCGATGCAGAAAAGACGGAAACTGTGCTTTCTGGTTATCTGACATATGAATGTTCCAAATATGGAAGCATAAACGTTCTTGACCCAAAGTGCGTCTTAAACAACTTACATTGTATAGGTAAAATGGACTTACTCGCCGCTAAAATCGACTTTAGAAATAAGACCATGTTCAGAGATTTTCAAGAAATGATAACGAGAGAAAAAGACACAACCCATGCTCAGCTGGAACTAAACAAGGCAGAAATAGAGTTTGACAGTGCTGCAAGGCAGTTAAAGCTGGCTCAAGCACGGCTTAAACAGAGTGAGTTTGCTCGAAAAGCCTTAACCCTCAGCACAGTGAAACAGAGAGAAAAACTGGGTCTAACACTTGGCAAAAAAATGGAAAAAATTTCAGGAAAGCCACTGATCTACGTAGAGAGTCTTACATTTTCCGTAGTCTTGACCTCGTCATCTGCGAAGACGCGATTCCCCCTTACAGCTAACGTCAGGACATTTGAAGGCTCGCGCAAAGGAATTCAGTTTCCCATGGACTTCAAAAATGAAAACAGTTCTCTGGCCTTGGCATCAAAACGTATTCTTGAGCTACTCTTTGGAATATCCCAGTCAAGAAGACGAAGGTCATTAAGAGATGAGTCCATCAACTCCAAAAGGAATGATAACGACTTATCAATTGAAAGACACGAATGTCTTCTTTCTAAAGAAGCCCACATTCTATTCTCTGATATTGTTCAATCCATGGATTTTTCGATAAAAAACAAAAGGGAAGCTGATCAAGCTTTGTTTTCGGGAATCAGAGGCATAGAGGAGCTCACTGATGATGGTAGCAACGATGGAAACAGTTCTTACAGCGATATATTTCAGTTTCTCAAGAATGCTCAGCTTAACACCACTGGAGGCACATCTTGGAGTGACATGTTAAACGATACACGTGGATTTCTAGATGCTGTGACGCTGAAGAAGAGGTTTACACAATGTTCAGGGATTCTTGATTGTGCTGACTTCTTCTTTGACAGCCTAGACGAACTGTATGAAAGGGAAAATCACCCCAGAGCAATTGAAATCAAAAAGGGGCTTCAGGCTTTAAACAAGATCATCGATAGTATTTTAAGGGAGGACATTACTATGTCTTTGTTGGAAAGAAAGCTATCTCAAGCGAGGCTTTTCATTAACGGAAGCAACGATGACATGATACTTTGCGGTCAGAAACCTAAAATCGAAAAGAGTTCTCCTGTAAGAGTTGTCTCGCTTCTTGGCGGAGATGTCAATTTAGTTTGTGAGGCTAAAAGTACTCTGGAAGTTGAATACGTGTGGATGAAGAACGGACAGTCACTAGAAGGGGAAAATGGGGCCATACTTGAGCTAAGGAATGTCACCGAAGATAGTGAAGGAGCCTACAAGTGTCACGCTTCCAATACAAGAGGAACTACAGTATCTAATGTCACAATCCTGGTTGTGCATCAAAGACCACATATTACCGAACACCCACTGGATAAGCAGAAGCTCGTTGGAGATGAAATAATGTGGATAGTCTGCAACAGCACCGGTGTTCCTAGGCCATCAACAGAGTGGTTCTTTATTCCAATAAAAGGGATGAGCCAGGATGCTGTTCGTCTTAACGAGACGGGCCAAGTTCTAGAAATAAGAAATCTGAGAAAAGAAAATGCCGGCTTTTACTATTGCAATGTATCTAATTTACATGGTGCTGCTCAAAGTAGAATTGCAAGACTGGACGTTTTAAGATTCATTCCAGGCGTGCCTAGCATCGCTGTCAGTTTAAAACTGAAGCAATGTTTTTCCACGCCTTCTGAGGTAAACAGCAGTCCATATGACTGCAATAGTAAAACGATCGGTAATTTTCATCAGATAGATACTGTGGCTTATCAACATATTACTCAGAAAATGTTGGAGCATATGAGTTGGCCGATGAAAAAAATTAAGGATGAGTATTACACACCATTTCCAGATGCTGCGATCTCGTTCGTTCTTTATGGTGACGACCCCATAACACCAGAAGGAAAGAAGCTCGAAGCGCTTAATGAATTCTCCCTCTCTAAAAGACGCATAGGAGACAGTTTAAAGAAGCTCTATTCTTCCCTAGAAGACGAAAACTTGAAGACTCAATGGGGAAACTTGACAATACTTGGTGCCAAGGAAAGCCTTAAAGCTAGATTTCCTTCACAAAAATGTCCGAGTGGCACAGGAATTCATGAAGATGGGTACTTATGCGGTAAGACTGACATTTAAGGATGATAAGCGATAAATTTTACCTCTAGATTCAACTCAAAATAGAAAATTACCGAAATGAGAACTGCCATTTTTTTGTTTTTGATCATTTTGACATTTTTTTTTTTGGAAAAATGTTTCTTAAGTTACTTTCTTTTGTTTGGGCTTTCGTTTTGTTTTAACTTTGTTTCTTTTTTTTAATTTCGAAAACTTATTAATCGCACACCCTTGGTAAATTGAGAAATTACACATTCTTTCACTTAAATTGAGGACACTGTTCAGCGCTCTCAAAAAATACTTCTTGAATATATAGAGATCTATCAATAGGTTAATAACAAATGTACAGTTTACTCAGTTGACAATTACCACATCTTAAGTAGCACTCACCCAAATACCTTTCCAGTGTACTGTCCGCCTGGTTACTACGAAGTAGGAAATAGAACTTGCGAACCATGCCCTGTCGGCACATATCAGCCAGATGAAGGGAGCACAGAGTGTGTTAAATGTCCTTATCGAGATGCATTTACAGAGCCTGGGGCGGTACGAGAATCTTACTGCAGCGATCTCTGTGAGTACGGAACAACTTCCTATAAGGGTTTTATTCCAAAATTTAGCTTCTATAGCTTGTTTAAGACCCGATGTGTCTGTATTTTGTGTCCCAATGATCATGTAGGGTTTGGTTTCCGGAAACCTCGAAGAACGCCCTATTATGAACAAATTATGTCATGAAGTTACCTCAAAACAACTCTTAGTCGTCTAGTAAGCTATACATTTCTTAGTTGCTTTCCCATAGAAGTTCATCCAAGAATATGACATGTTTTTTATTCTTCCTTTCAGCTATACCCTGCATTAAGCCTCCTCAAACTGAAGTCGCAAGGGCCCAAATGCCAAACAACATAAAGAGTCTTCACCACGCAGGTGAAACCGTTGACTTTGAATGTCAGCCTGGGTACAAAGTAGTAGGCAATGCAACTGCAGAGTGTAACGAGGGAAACTGGACCGAGACTGACTTTTATTGCGAGAGTAAGTTCGTAGAAAGTTTATCAAATGTCCTCTGTATTGGTAGATAAACCCTGTTCGTGGTTTATGATGGGAAACGGATGGTAAGAGGATGATAAATTAAGTTGATATCCCGTGGAAAATTGAAACTTATGTGTCACGTTCTACAGTTGATGGAAATGGATATTTGCGAAGAAAGGACACAACACACGAGTCTTATCTAAACGTCCGCCATGCTACTTTGATAATTAACTTCCTAACCCCCATTGCGTACTTACCAATGTTATGTATGACACACGAAATGTACCTTACAAACACTACACTAATAATAATAATAATAATAATAATAATACAGCATTTGTAGTGCGCAAATTCCATGTGGATATGCTCAAATGCGCATTACAACATAGTTTAAAACTAAGAGAACAATAATAAATAGTTTAGGATCACAATATATAGAATAATTAACATATAAAATAAAATAAAGTAATTAATATTAGGCAGGCTATGAAAACGCAGCACGAAATAAATGTGTCTATGGACCTTTAGAATGTTTACCTAAAACTTATATCTAAACAATTGGCAAAGAAAGAAAGACAGCTACGTCTAATATAGATTGCGCTTTTGGAAATGGGTCACGCGTTGCACCTCCATTGGTAACAAAGAAAATCTTCAAAACGCTGTTTTATGTTTGTTTATAGGTTTGTTTGTTTGTTTGTCGGTTTTTTGGGGGAGACCTCGATTTCTTCCCTTCTTTCCAATGATTGTAAATGAAAAACTCTAGATTTCCGTTTTTACGCAGAGACTTGCAATCCGCCCTGGACCGAGCTGAAGAAGCGTTGCTACTTGGTAATAGAGGCTCAGTTCCAACTATGGAAGGATGTGCAGAGCCAGTGTCTGAAGCTCAATTCACTGATGGTGACCATTTCCTCGGAAGAAGAAAATGAATTTGTCCATCAGCTTGTTCAGGTAAGTACTGAAAATAATAATGAAAATTTTAAGGGCGTATGTGAAATTGACCCTAACTAAAGCATATATCAACAGTTAAAGTGTGTCACTGATATAATTTATCCTTTTCCAGTTGCAAATAAAGTAGATAAAACTGGTCATTAACACCCCACGACGTTAATTATGTGTTTTAAATCTATTTTAATTACAATAAGGAAATAATTTTACACGCGATCCCGTCTCGTGGTGAATTAAAAGAACTTTTTAACTCATTGCTCAAAGATCCTGATTTTATCATCTCATTTGGACAAACTTTTAAATACGACGTTCTTATTATAAGCAGTAGTAAATTTTATGATTCAAATTAGGGATAAAAAGAGCAGGTTCCGACTCAATTCGTCAGTCTTAATCGTGGAGTAGTCTTCACACTTTGTTTTTCATTCTGTAACATGATGCCGAATGGCATAAACGTAAATTTCAGGTTTTTCTCAGGGAGAAGAGATGGACTCAAGCACAGATGTGGCTCGGCCTGAAGAAGATGCACGCTATTGGTAATTTTCTCTGGGTGGATATGACCACTTTAAAAGGATAAACAAACTGGGTCCCTGGAGAACCAAATAACGCAGGAGGTCAAGAGCTATGTTCTGAGATGTTGGTCTCTGGTAAATACTGGCCGGGCAAGTGGAATGATGTGAATTGCAACGCAGCACGTGACAATACTCTCACAGTCTTCGAGAAACCTTTACGAGAGGAAAACTAAAAATAATGATTTAGGTACTTCCCGAAATTCTTTAGATATGCTTAGCTGATTACTCCTCCAGCTGTGCTGTGCGTAAGACAAGAAATTGTCATTAAACGGGAAGATTCATAGCTGTGGAAGTGTGTGCGTATTACATATCAATACCTCATTTCTCTTGGTGTTCGGTGAAAAACTAAGTTACTCAGTGTATTGAAAATAACTAGTTGATCATATCCTACTCTTTTTACGCCTTCATCTTAATTTTCATTTGAATTAATGTCCTCTCTCATTAGCAGACTTTGGTCTTAAACTTAAAATAATTAGTTACATGCTTCATCCTTAATTTAGTATGGAACCTTGTTAACCGGCTTTCTTTTAAAATACTCTTTGTTAATTTCCTTTTATTTTGGGTAATTTTTTTTTTTACATTATACAATTACCTTAACTTGGGTCGATAGTTGTAGCGGAACTTTATTGAAATTGCTTTTCCTGGGTGACTTCGCTAGTAAACGTTTTTAATTTTTATCTCCTAATTGAAATCTTTTTGTAAGTATTTTCGTTTTAAGAGCACTTAGCTTGTCAATTTATGGAAAAGAAAAAGGAGTGTTAGTTCCTTCTTCTCCTACGTTTTGTTTATTCATAATTGATTAAATATCTTTAAGATGAATTTGTTTCGTTCAGTTTTAACACCTCTAAGTTTATTAAACTTTTGCCTGAATTTAGCTCGGACTGTCCGAAAACCAGGGAAGAAGGCCACTTTGTAGAAAGTAAAGGCTTGCGAAGGGAAAAAGGTTTAATCTTATGCAAGATCTTTCCTAGTGAGAATAGATGGGTGTTACGTAGCAAGGGAATATAAACTGTTTATATTCTCTTGTGCATAGCGAGTGACGCACATAATTTGACAGCTTAGCTACTGTCATCTTGGCATATGTGAGAACGGTTGTTCCAGAGAAGATTGGGTTTGAATTTGAAGTTAGTGGTTGTAAGTAAGTTAAAGGTCTTTTTCAATAAAGTGAGTTTAACTAAAAGAGTGTTAAGAACAAGTATTCTTTCAGAAATATTGAAGCTTTGAAATAGTTACTCGCTACCTCGTTAAAAATAAAACTGGCTGGATGTCAACCAAGGCACTTCGGTGTATAGAAATTAAAAATATTTTTTTTGTTTGGGCGTTTGCGCGAAGCAGAGGGGAAGTGAAAAATGACGATGAAAACAACTTTGGTAAAAGCACATGTATACAGCAAAACAAAGATAATGACGTAACACTGACAGAAAGAAAAACACAGCTCCTGGTCACGAGTAACCATTGACATATAGTTAACCCAGAATATCTTTAATAACCTTTATTACCACAGCAACAGGATTGTGAAATACTTCCCTTACCTCCCACTAGAGCTCCCAGTTTAGTCGCCATGGCAAGTGAAAAATATAGTTGACGACTAAAATTTCGGGGAAAGTCGCCAGTTGGCGACCAACAGATTTAAAATAAAAAATTCGTTAAATCTATTGATATGCAAACGCAGGTAAATCCTGCCTTTCTTCACTGAGGAGCAAAACTCCCACCCACCATTACAGAGAAAATATTTCTCTTGATAAGCTTCAGTGACCGCCGAAGATTTGACGCGCCGGTCAGCATGTTTGCGGCAAAATCTTGGTGAAATCACACGCGAAAGATTGTGCTATAAATTTATGACGAGAGTAACATTGAGTGGTAGGCGATGGGGTCACATTTCATGATCGTTAGCCTAACTTGTCGATCTGAAGCTACTTTAAAAAATAGACAGTTCAGATTGCCTACAGATATTGTTGCCGCATCCCACATGTGAATTAGTAGCCTGTTCCACAAGAGAAAGATGACTCAACAATATAGGGACTAATTGACACTCAAACAATAATTGAATGGTGACAAATAATCATATTTCAGTAATAATAATAATAATAATAATAATAGTATTAATAGATGTAGTAATAATGACTTATAGAGGCTAGCTCAAGAACTTCACTGTGCTCCTATCGGTTTATCCTCTAGGCTCCAATAATGATTAAACTAGGCTTCTTTTAATTTCAATTTTGTAGCTGTTAATCGTAAATAATTTTCATACTTAATTGCGATTCCATAATTTCAGACTTTTTTTTACACAACAAGGCATTCCGCGTTGTAGGATATTCCGTCATTCAAGTTTTCCATCATTCCATCGAATAGGGTCCCCCTGTTAAACTCTAGGTATTGCAAGCTTCGCAAATTTAGCGGTTCGTTTGAGCACTGTCGCTAGTTGAAATTATAAATTGCTCTCTTTTCGAATAACGCTGAACGACCGAAGATGTTCTGAAACAAACAAAAGCCAAGAGCGAGGATTATCAAATAAAACTCGGCAGACTTTGTTGTGGCCTAAGAGGTCATTCGTATTCTATTGTTACACTCGCTCAACAGGACAATATTATGGCTTCACCTCCACAGGAGGCAGTAGCCATCAAAACGAGTTTATTTAACGTGAGTAGCATAGACTTTCTACGGGGAGTAGCTTCCTTATGAAGCAGTTTCGAGAGCTTTGCGTCATGAAGTGTTGCTCGAACATGTAATGATATTCATGGCGTTCTACTGTTGTTGTTTTTTTTTTAGGAATGGCCACTCAAAGTAAACAAAAAAGCACTGCATGATCGATGATTCATGATTTGTTAAAATACTTTTAAATAGAAAATGTTATTCTAACCCTCTAACCCTGAATATTATAACTCCTCAAAATATCCACACTTAATTATTTCCCAAGGTCACGAGAATTGAGAAATTGATCACCAAAGAGAAACTTCGCTGATTTTTACAAATTTTCGCGACTTGTTATGCGAAAATGTATGTAGACCTTCGGAAGAATTCTATGTGTTGACCACTCTACTTGAACAGAGAGGTATAAGGAGGGAAAGGGTACTTTAAAACGGAATAAGTTGTTATTTGAGATTCAGTTGACCCCATAGGACTAGAACTTCTGCGTAGGCTCTAATAAATTTGCGTTTCCGTTCAAGCCATTGCATATTAGAACAATTTTTCCCTCCATCACGACTCAAAACATGTTTGTTAGAACGCGACAAGTCAAAACACAGAATTAATTGAGCTGTTGCCCAAAATGATGGGTCTATTCTGTTATCCTTTCTAGTACCATTTCCGTCATCAAACAATGTGCTTATCCAGTCGATTTAGAATAGAATTCGAAGGTTTACATTGGCCTTAGTATTATCAGATATGATACCCCTCTGCCAATTAACCCTGTATTGCTACGTACTCAGCCTAATTAAGTGGCCAATTAACCCTGTATTGCTATCCTGGAGTCATCTATGGTTTCCGAGAAAGTTACATAACCCGACTGTGTTTCATGTTTGTAAAATTTCCTTGAATTCTCCAAGCCCTCTCGTGTTTGGGGGCCTAAAAACACAAAAACAGTCTGGAGCGCTCATTTACTTTTGAGACCTCAAGGAAGGGCACTTTTTCGAGACTTATTTGTGTTGAGCTTGCCACGTTTACTTTGAATGTAAGACGATAGGCTGTAGGCCACGGCGTTCGGGAGTCCCTTTTATTATCACTCTATATTTGAGATGATCATTTCTATCGGTTACTTTAATCCGAATGTTTTGCTGCTTCCTTTCGACCGAAGAGCCTTGGTCGACATTGAAACGCAGCCAAGTATATTTACAACGAGGCAACAAGTAAATATTACTCTTTAAAGCTTCAAAATATTAGTTAAGAAGTATTTCATCTTCGACTCTCTTTTGAGATGATCTCTCTTTATTGAGCAAACTCTTAACTTACAACCCCTAACTTAAATCTCAAAGTTTTAACGTAACTCAATCTTCTCTGGAAAAAATATTAATTCCCACCCATGCCGAGGCGACAGTACTTCATTCGCAATGTAACACACATCCAATCCCACCAGAAAAGATCCTGCATCAAAAAAACTCCTTTAACCTTCGCAAATTTTTTCCTTCACAAAGTGGCCTTCTCCTCTGAATTTCGGACAGTCCAAGTTACGATCTGGCAAACCTCAGCTAAACTTAGAGATGGCAAAAGTGAAAGGAAAATATTTGCCGAACTAAAACTGAACTCTGAGGAGAAGTAATGGCTAAAGATTTTAAATGAATTATGAAAATGAATAAAACATTTGGAGAAGGAGGGAAGAACACTAAGCTTCGTCCTTTTTTGTAGATCGAGAAGCTAAGTGAACCTAAAAGGAAAACGCTTATAAAAGAATCCAAGTAGGGATGAAAAAAAAAAAATAAACTGTTTTCTCGTGCAGCCACCTCGAGAAAAATGCTAAACTGCACTGATAAGCTTTTCTCATAGTGCCAAAAGATATCACTGATATAAAATGTAAAATGTAAAAAGAAAAATGTAACGGATGATAAACTAGTTTTTTCCAATATGCCTAGAAAATTAAGATGTATGTGTTTACAGTTTTCATCCCAACACCGTGAGTTATTAGTATATTATACGCATACACTTCCGCTGCAACTAATTTCCTGCACAGCTGCAGAACTAATTAAGAAAAAAAAACGTAAATGATTGCGGCAATTAACTAAATCATTACTTTTACTTTCCGTCTTGGAGAGGTTTATCGCAGACTGTGAGAGACTTGTGACGGGTTATGTGGCAATTCACATCATTCCACTTGTCCAACTGCTATTTACCAGATACCAATATCTCGGTACACAACTCTTGACCTCTTGCGTTTTTTGGTTCTCCAGGGGTCCAGTTAGTGTATCCCTTCAAAGGACTCCCATCAACCCATAGAAAATTACCAACGGTGTGCATCTTCTTCGGCCCGAGCCACATCTGAGCTCGGGTCCATTTCTTCTCTCTGAGATAAACCTGAAATCACATTTACGCCATTCAGCGTCATGTTTGTGAATACCAAGCTCAGATGTTGACACAGAGTTTGGAGTCTACTGCATGAATCAATCAGAGGGCTCAGTTGTTAGGAAGCTGAGTACGTAGCTCTAACCCATTGTAAAATTTTAACCCGGTTTTCTTGATTGCTTTGTTGAAGGGTCATTTTTTGGATGATTTTTTAATCTTTTTAGAGTACCCAATCATCTCATTGAAGACTTAAAAACCTGAGTTTTCTTTGAAAGCTTTCAGATCTGAAACCAGATTTCACACAAACCTTGGGTTTTTTAACCCAACTTTGAATAACCCAGCCCAGCAGCAGGTAATCATCCATGGTTAGAATCATAATTTTCCTAATTCGACGGCCAAACTTAAAATTATAATCTTTCATAAAACAAAAGATCGAGCTTTTTAAGTTTTTTTTTTTTTCCAATGAAATGACATAAGCGAAGATCTTTCTCTTTAACCTCCTCTGAGGCTATGAATTGAGCTTGAGACACTGGCTCATCGCGTTCGCCCATCGATTGGCTCGTGCCTCTACTACCCAGTAGTAATACCCCTTCAGCTCGGTCCAGGGTACCGTTCAATAACAAGTTTCTGCCTCAAAACGGATATTAAGAGTTTTGCATTAACAACCATGCACTATGCAGGGGAGAGGAAATTTTACATTCTCTATGGGAAACATAAGTTCACTCTATCAATCAAAACTGCTTTGAAAGTACATTTCTACAGTTGACCCCGGCGTCTAATTTTACGGTTATTTTACTTCGTATTAATTAATCATTTTACCATACCTGTGCACATTGTACTACTCTACAGTCTATAACTCTTTCCCCACGTGCAATAATAACTTCCAACAGTGTTCCTGCATGATTTTCCACATGAATTTGACCCAGAAGCACAGGTGCATTCAATCAACCGTTGGCACTCGTCTACATCTGTCGGGCGGATAGAGGAGGACAAGTAGTTAGGTTAAGCGCCATCATTAAGGTGCACTTTAGTAATGGTAATATGAATGAGTAGGATAAATAAGTGGGTAATTGGGCGAGTGATCTGAAATTACGAGCATACTTGCCCCTGAATTGCGTGAGACGAAGTCCGTTATTGCGTAACACGAAGTTTCTTTGTAGACTTTAAAACCAAAAGACAGGATGTCACCCTCATGTAGATTTTTTTTTGTTTGACATACTTAAACTTAAAATAATGTTTTCTTTTCTTTACTTTTATGTGTTTATGATTACTATAATTATCTCTATTATCATTATTTTGTAGATGTATATATTTATTTATTACTTTTTATATAGTCTCAGCTGGAAGATATTAGCTCGTTAGCTAATCTTAAACTCGAGTATAAATAAAGTTTATGTATGTATGTATGTATCACCAATCAATTGTGTTAATCAAAAAATGGGTGGATGTAAGAGGGCGTACGCTTCTTATTTAACTTTCTAGTCCCAATTTGTTTAAAGTAGGCAACTCTCACTTTTAAAGAAGTTTTCTTTGTTTTGATTGGCTAGCTTAAGGCCATTATGCTCATGATTTCAACACACCCCTCAGTTTGCAGTTAATTGGTAGTCAATTTTCGAGAATCTCTCCTTAACAGATTTAATTCTCTGTTAGTGACGACTGATCCGCACCTTGTTTACCCAAAAACCATGTAATCCCTCCTAACTCCTCCACACCCTTTTCCCAGGTGGTTACTGATGACCAGTCCCTTAACCCACCGATTTGGCCCGGCCGACTTAAAACAGCTAGTTAAACCTCAAATGTGGGCTTTAAAGAGCCTCTTACTAACGGATATTTTGTTATTGATACAATTTAGTGGGGTAATCAGAAAGCCACAATTTAATAATGACGGAAACTTGACTCTTACCAACGCACTTCTTACTATCGTATGGGCTTGTCTTGTACCAGCTGTTACAGGAGCAAAGTCTTGATGTCCCTCTCCTGTTGATGCATTGCTGCTGAAAATCTCCGTTGTTTGAAGAGCATTCGTTTACATCTGTCGAAAGAAGACGGACAGAATAGTTTATTTACTGTCTCACAAGATTGAGCTCGATCAGCCAGGGAAATAATAATTTCATTATTTTGAAGAAACATTTGCACATTTCTAACTTTAAAACCAAAATTTACCATCTTTCTTATTCTATTTAAGAACATGCCGTTATCGACTTTCTAATCTTAGCAGTATGCAGGACGCGTGTCACATATAAACTTCGTATTTGCCTTGCTAACCACTGAGCCTTTGTGGCTCATCCAGTAATAAAGCATCAAAGTGCGGAGTGCGAAGGTCTGAAGGTTCCATTCCTCATGGGGACTCAGAATTTTCTCTTTGTCTCACGCCCTTGACAATACCAAGAGCATCTTTCTCTATTTCTAACTTGCTACACACAAAAAGAAGACGACTGCCTGTATGTCTGATTGTTCTCATGGTTGTGTGTCTGTTTTGTATTTTCCTTACCTATACCGCAATTAGGTCCTGTCCAAAAAGGAGTACACCTGCATCTATTCGGAGAATAACAACTTCCTCCATTTTTGCAGCCATAACGGCAGATTGCTGGTGAAACAACAACAACAACAACAACAACAAAAATAATTTGGATATATCAACAAAAGTTGAAATGGTAAATTGGCCACCGTAACAAAAATACACTGTTTCATTCCCAAGTAGGCAGCTGTGTAATTGTCATATTACTACCTCTGCATGCCTATACCCTCCTTACCCTCCTTACCCTCCTTACCCTCTTTACCCTCTTTACCCTCCTTACCCTCCTTACCCTCCTTACCCTCTTTACCCTCCTTACCCTCCTTACCCTCCTGCTTACCTAGAATAAACACGATTAAAAAAAAAGACTAAAATATGGCTAGCTCGCTACTGAAGGGATCGAGCGCCGGGCAATTATGTCAAATATTTATGTGACAACTGTTGTTGAAAGTTGGTTGACTGTTTGTTTAGAGTTATTAATGTATTGACTGTGAATATATGAACGGTGGTTTAATAGTGAATATGCCACTGATCTTCGCAGTGATGAATAGTAGTGAAAATAAAGCCTGAAAAAAAAAAAAGAAAAAAAGGCAGGCATGAATGGGAGTTCAACCTATAACCTCTGCGATACTGGTGCATTACTCTACCAACTGAGGTAAAAAGCCAACTAAGAACGGGCCATTTGGTTGGTTTGTAATAAACCCGTAAAGGGATGAATGGACGACAGTGAATAATATAGTGTATGTGAACTGCAGATTAATAGATAGGCATGTGAGTGATCTTCGCAGTAATGGACATTACTTATAATTAAGCAACAGTGATAGCGTAGCCTGCAATTCTTTACTCCGGGCTGGACACTTTTGTGCGATCATCTTCAAGATCACTAGTAGACGGAGGGGCTGTATTGAAGTCACTTTGAAAAATTGAAAGCAAATTAAGGCCAAGTAATAATTTGGATATATCAACAAAGTTGAAATGGTAAATTGGCCACCGTAATGATTACAAAAGCTGACGTTTCGAGCGTTAGCCCTTCGTCGGAGCGAAGTTAAGGCCAAGAACTGTCTCCAGGGGCAACCTTATTGTGATGGGAAAGAACGAAGCAATCTGCTCATCCACCACAACCCCACTGTGACCTGTTGTTAATAAAATCTATATTCCCGTTTATGACAAATGGATTCAGTTATCCAACGGTGGATCGTTTTCATGGAGTTTGTTGTCGACTACATTTTACCTTTCGCTCTGACGAAGGGCTAAATTATAAAGCTCGAAACGTCCGCTTTTTACGGTGGCCAATTTACATTATCGACTCAGTCGATAAACTTAAGTATCTTGTTATTAAGTAAACATATCCTCGTTACACAGATTCATCTCTCAAAACTGAGTACTATTAGTTTCTCCTATTTCTTTTGAAATCACAGTGAACTTATATCAGACTCTGCTTATAGGCTGAATCTTTCTTTCATCTAACCTATTGGGCATTCATTTCCTCTTCTTCTCCATCCATTGCAGCATCTGAAGTATGTGTCAATTGTCCGACGGTAGATCGTTTTCAATTTGTAGCTGGTTACAGTTCTGAAAGATACAAAGCACTCACATAAACATCAAGAGTTTGTACTTGTAAATGAATTTTCGTGCCCTACACTAGATGCGATTCTCGTTCATCGTAGATTACCCCTAGCATTTTCTCGATTTCCGTAACATTTTGTCAACATATTCCCTGATATGGAGAGAGGGGCACTAATGCTTGAAAACATTGCTCCTAGTCAGGGCTTCAGCCGGGTAAGTGCCCTAGCCATTAGGCAAATGAAGGACTAATCTCAACCACCAAACAGAAAGAATCCCTGAAAAAAGCAATAAAAAAGGCTGCTGAAAGGCCCTATCATGAAAGTTTAATTGTTTCCTTGGGTAGGGCAGTGAAGATAACCAACCTAGACTTTCTGCAACGCCTCCAACCACAAAGTTTACTGCGTGAAATGTAGGTTTGATAACTGACAGTCGACACCAGGGTGGATGTTGCAACGGTCCTCCATTTCCACTCTTGGCAAACATTCGTACTGCAAAAAAACATATACCAACCAGTCGGTGGATGAGTCAGTGGTCACTGGCTCATGGCGTTTAATGCTACGGCAAAGGGCATGTAAAACTTTGATTTTGTCCATCTAAACTTTAATTTTTGAAGCGAATCCGCTTTCGTGATTTGTTCTAGAGCATAGGTATAAGGCCGTACAGTTGTCGGTGCGCTATTGGTTGGCATAGGGCGTTTCTCACCAGCTCTATGACTGACGAGTCATACTGAAATTTTTTATTCGCGTTCTACTCAGACATCACTGTTGTTTTCCAGGGTTGTTCTGCGATCTAAATAATATATTTCAACAAACCCCGCGTGAGCTTTTCACGCACTTTGATGTTGGGTATACAGAGTAACTCATGAAGAAAATAACGTAACAACAAATAAGAATAAATGTCAGCTAAGAAAAGAATTTAACATGCTTTATATAAGGTATATGACGTGGATTGTTGAAACAGACGAGAAGTGTTAGTTTTAATTTCATATGACGTTTCATTCCCGTAGAGATATTGTACATAATGTTTTGCGAAATTTAAAGATGAGAATTAATCTCTGAATAGAAAAACCGCTGCTAACAACCAGAAAATTTGTGAACCACAAGGTGTTTAGGAACAGCTGACAGATAGGCAGTCCTCAAAATGTATTGCAAAAGCTTTCAGAGAGAGCAAAGCTTTCTCAGTTCTCTTCTACAAATCTCTGGCTAAGGATATGAAGATTATATCTAATGATTATACAGGTGGTTTATTGAAAGATGAGAAGATGGAGTTTGTGGCAAAACTGCAGAACTGTGTAAAATGATGCAAACGATAATCGCTGAATATCGCGATTGTCGCGATATCTCGGCAATATTTGAGCAATATTTCAGTTGGAACGATATATCGGCGATATATCGCAGATCTATTGTTTTAACATCACTGCTATTTAGATAGATAGATAAAGACAGGTAGCTGGCAATCGTATTGCACCTTTAATTTGTTACGCTCGTGAAAATAAATGGGTATCACCCGAGGGATAAAAAAGAAGTAGGAGGAAACATACCCATATTTTGAAAGCCCATTGCCATAAAGTGTTCCGCGCACCAAGAAAAGGCAGAGCGCAAGCATAAGAAACACTTCCAGACCTGTCTTTTTCACCTTGCTGTGTGCCATCTTGGTGAACCAGCAGCCAAAGAGCATAAAGGCGCCTGACGGAGGGTAGATGAAGAAGATAAATTTATCAAGTTACGCGTTTCTAAAGTTTCAAAGCTCTACCAGCTTGGCACAATAATAAGATACATGAGTAGTCAAATGGGAGAATTAGTTGAGAAGTCAAAATATCGAAGATATCTTTTAGCGACCAGCGGAAAGGATAAAAAAACCACAGGATCTGCGATACTGAAAGGCGGTGTAACTTTACCTCTGAAATACTCTTTCATCGCCTTGTCAGCTGTGTGCATAGTAAGTCCCATCAATTGCAAAATAAAGGAGTTCTCTGGTAAGAACTTTTCGAAATAAGATAGAGGCGAACAGGACATGTCAAACGATAACAGAAAATATGGACACTCGCTTTGAAACTAAAAATGAACAATTAGTTCGAAAGCCAGAAATTTTTTATAATATAATAGCGCTATCTACTGCGAGGATCGTGCATCATACGTAAAGAGTAAAGGATAAAGAATATGAATCAATTTTTTTTCCTCTGATTAAGCTCGATGGCGACGGCTTAAAAGAAGATGTTTATCAAAAATTTGATCACATAAAAAAACCAACTGGAAAATAATGGTTTTAAGCTACAGGTTTTATTTTACTTTACTCTGTGAAGATTAAGAGCGCATCAGGAAATTCGTAATTGGCGAGTAATTAAGGGGAAGGAGCATCGAGGAATAAAACAGTTTTTTGTTTGTGTAAGTCAGGTTCCACGGATCCGATGTCGCCATGGTAGTTACCCAAGATGACACATCAACCAATGTTAGGAGTAACAACAACAACAACATCAACAACAACTGATATATCTCTCATAATGAATCATATTCTATACAGAGTTTTAGATAGGCGTAACTAGAAAAGAACGATAATCATTTTAGGTATTTACCCCAAAGGAAATTTGCAGGTGAGCAGTAGTACGTTTTAATGTATTCTAATCTGGGACATCTGTTAACTAAAGTGTGGGCGTTCGGAATATCCGGGCATGTATTCTAACAGTGTAAACTTTAAAACCAAGAGAGAAGAGGGGAAGAGAATCTTAGGCTTGGATTTGAATGTTTTGTCTGGTTTATGGTATATCTGTTGCATTCAGTAAAACGGCGGTAACATTTTATCATGAACAAGCCTTGTCTGTCTGTGAACATTAATTAGCGTGGGCAGTTTCTACTGCCCGAGCGGAAGTGGAGGGGTGGAAGGGAATCCATTTTGAAGAGGGCGGATGGTTTTATTTCGGTAAGAGGTACAAATCGCGGTTTTAGTTAGGGTGTTATGGGCACAACACCTTTATATTCAGTCATAAATCACAACCGTAGTGAGATAAGGACATTACTCTAAAATAATGTCCTTCCGAGCCCACAATCTGTCTACCGTATAGGTCAGTAGACTTCCTTATATTTAGTTTATGAAGTGTTGTAGGGCATGTAAACCCAAAAACTCGTACATTTTCTTTTCACATAGCTGTTTAGCAAATATATCAAGTACACCGAAGGTGAAGTTCTTTCAAATTCGAAGCATTCGCCATCTTGAATTGCGTCATCTTTCCTGAGACATTACGGGTGGAACCTTCCGGTGCTGGAGGTCAAAAGCACATGAGATACCTTTAAGTCTCCCTCGCATCCCTTGTTTGCCGGTCTCGTCACGATTTTTATACTTAAAATTTGGTTAAATACATTCAATTTTTTCATAACAGTAAAGCGTTGTGTTGTCCAGTTTTGTAATAATTCAAACAAAACTGGACATGCAATACCTAAATTTCCAAAAGAACCATATTTAAAGCGACAAAGGGTTAAATTTTTTCAAGTGAAAAGAACCAATTTCGTCGAGCCGTCCAAACATTCTCAGTGTTGTTTGTAGCAGTCATTTTCCCCCTGATTGTTTCGATAAAAGCTACATGATGGAAGTGGGCCTTAAAACGTTGCTGGTTTTAGTGCTGTACCGACGATTCAGCCCCTACCAGAAACAAATTCTTCTGAAAAAAAAAAAAAAGCGACCCGTGCAGTCAGCAGATAGCGAGAATCCGGAGGTTGCCGACCGAACTGAGAAACGAACGAGGAGAAGTAGAGCTCTCCAAAATTTAAGAGAAAGAAAGGGAGACAAATAAGAAATTCCTAAAAACCTTTCAAACTGTCAACCTTTTGACAGAAAAAATAAGGTTTTTAATAAACCCAAGCAGTCCTTGTGAATCAGTTCAAGAAACTGACAAAGATATAAAAAATAAAAAATCTTCAATCTCGCCAATCTAACTGAGAACGAAGATGCGGCAAACAAGGAGTATGTTGATAAAAACACGAAAAAAAATCGATTTATGTTCTTTTTTGGCAAAAAATGCAAACAGAAATCTTTTTGTTGAGACATTCATTAAAAAAAAATCAACATGATGGTATCACACAGGCCACAACTCATAAATTGAAATATTCATCAAAATAGACTTTGTGCTTCTGCTTTCAATCAATCAGGATTGAACAACCATGCTCGCAAAGAAGAAAAAACTCAGTCAGGCCAGAAATATCTACTTCAACAACAATGGAAGACACTTTTTGTTTTGCTTTATTTTTTCGTTTGGTTTTTTTTGTTTTTATGAAAATAGACAATTTGATCTTTCTTTCAAATTTACTCCAATAACAAGAACAAATCCACATAGCTTAAACGTCTGCGTGAAACAAAAATGTCAAAAAGAAACTGTTTGCTTGGAGATGGAAGGTTTCCTGTTTTTTTTCTTTCTCTTGAAAAAGGTTAGAGGAGTAAGACCAGAAATAGTTGTGGGTTTTTTATTCGTAATTGTTGGAGAAAACACAGAACCATTCACTGTTGGAACGCCATTAGAAAGTAAATCAATGGGTGAAGCACCTTCAGCAGGATTCAAGACAAAAGCAAACCCTACAGATGGAGGAGAGTGGAAAATTCAGTGTCAGCTGCCACTGGAATGGAATATTGGGAGGTTCAATAAATACTTCTTTCTAGTGAAAATGCATGACTTTGAATTTTACACAGTGAAATTGTAAAATTTTTAAAAGAGCCAGAACTGTACTTTGAAGTCAAAGTTGTCTTCATGAATTGCCTTTAAAAATCAAGATTGTCTAAAAAATTACTTACTACTGATATATAAAGAGCAGGGATTTTTTCAAGGCCATATAAATTCGTTATCGGAGAATTTTCAACTGAAAAGTTTTATGACATATACAAACGATAGGGTGAATGTGGTACGATATATGCCCATGGTTTCATCACAAAGTTTCAACGTTTTACTATGGCCGAAAAGGCTAGAATCAGAGATTCGGTTTGGTTTATCCTCTGCAGGAAAATACACAATAGGCGTACGTAGCAGTTTAATTGGCGTAAAGCAATGTGGTGGAAATAGCCTTGGAACGAGGTTGAATTTTGGCATCGAGTGTTTCAGGCTTGAAGTGCTGGGCCGCGCATAAACGATTAACCAGGCTTGTTAAAGTTTACATTTATATTTCGAATGGACTAAAATATTACATATAAATTTAAAGCACAAACTTAACACTGTGAATCGCTTCAATTGGCTGATTGATTAAATTCGATTAATGAATTAAATTATCCTATGTAAAAATTGGCAATTCGATCGATTTGTAGATCACTTTAGTAAATGAAAGAACCACGCTTTTCTGACAAGGAAAAGAAAAAAAACAAAACAAAACAAAACAAAACTTGTGGAAGTCACCGTCACATATCTTTACTTTTAATCAGTCAAAAAACTTGCGGTCCACAAATTCCTTCTGTGGTATAGCGTTCCGAGGCAGAAAACCTCAGAGGGTAAGCGGGAGAAAACCTTGCGAACAAAGATTATCTTGTTTAAATCCAAATATTTATTGAGCGACTGCGAGGCGAAACTAAACGTAGTAATAGAAAATAGGGGAATTTGGCTCGTGCAAGCAGGGAAAGATTCGAATCGCAGCGTCAAAATTTGATGAATTTTGCTAACGGAAATTTGATAAACGAAGGTTTTGACTCTAAATGATTTAGAACTGGTTTTGTACAACCCCTGAGGTATGCATTGATTATTCTGCGGAGTTGGATGATTACCATTATTCTGAACTTCTCCTTGACTCGAGCTAATTCACAAAGTAAGTCATTCCTTTTCTGTTGACTTTTGCCGTGGTACTTAGGTTCGTTCCTGCATTTCGTTTAGCGATTTTAGTACTTCGAACTTGTCGTGGCACCAACTAGTTCCAAAGTCTTAATCTCCATACCTTTGAAAAGCACTCAACAGCAATTTTTCAAAAACAACAAGGCCTTCAACTGGTTCCCTCTGAACCGCAAATCCGGCCAGAATATAAGCTCCGAGCAGCCTCATGTTAGTTTTTATAAAAGAGCGTCCGAGAGAATTAATCGTTGCGCGACCTCTTCTACTAGTTATATGTGCGGAGACTATTTACATCTTTCAAACTAGCTATGGAGCAACATAGATATGTTACTATCCGTGCAGCTTTTGGTATTTGAGTTGTTCTTCTGCTCCCTAACCACTAAGCCGTGAACAAAAGCTTTTCCGGGAAGCATTAAACAGCTTGCAAACAACCACTGAAGAAAGATGGGAAAACAGGACAATCGACAACGACAACATAACAACGTGCGGTCCCGATAACTAGTTACTGATATCATTCTACAAGAAGAAGAGTTAAAAGTAACATATATTATACTCCACCTTAATTTTAAGCGTTAAAAGAGTGATGAATAATATTTATCTGCAGTGGCTGAACTTGTGTCTGTCGTAGGATACTTAAAGGATCCAACCCGAGTTATCATCGGTCAACAGTTTGCAACACAGGCAGCCCAAGCTCACTTCTAGAAAAGCGGACGTGACTCTTACCGTGTTGCGCAACGTTTTATATTTATAAAGGTTTGTATGGGATTTTATCGGTTTTGCATTAAAAGAGAGAAAAAAATGTCTTGTTTTGAAATAAAATGGGCTTACCTTATTGTCTTGTTGTTTTCTTTGTTGATTCCGAGCGTCTCAGGCCATTTTGAAGCGTTTTCGGCGAGTTAGCGCTATGTTTCTTTTAGCAGTTGAACACCAACATAGCGCTAACTCGCCGAAAACGCTTCAAAATGGCCTGAGACGCTCGGAATCAACAAAGAAAACAACAAGGCAATAAGGTAAGCCCATTTTATTTCAAAAGAAGACATTTTTTTCTCTCTTTTAAGAAGAAATCAAAGGACGCTTGTTTGATTTCTGTGTCATTGCTATCTGATTTTGAATTGAGCATTTGGGCGATGTTTGATGTACAGCTAAGGAACTGTAACACATTAAACACGCAAACATCTTCACGTTTGACTCAGAATTTACTCGCTCTTTTTTTTTTTTTTTTGTTATCTTGTGCTTTCAACAACTTTCAATTATTTCAATTACCAGTATTCTCTAACTTTTGAAGAAAAGCTGTCTGTAACATTCTCATTTGATCATGATTAATCTCCCGATTTTTCCGTTACCATTTTCTTAATGCATTATTTTGTTTTGGTAGCCCTGTCTCTTTGGCAATTAGTCTGAAGTTATATTCTTGAAGAAATTTTGTACAGTATTTCATCATAACTTTCTACAAATAGATTTTGAAACAACTTTGTCAGGTTAGGAAAGAAAGCAGTAAATAGAAGATAAAGGCAGGCAGCTGGCGATCTTATTGTACCTTTGTTACGCCGGTGAAATTAAACGAGTAGCACCCGAGGGGATTAAAAAGAAGCAGAAGGAAACATACCCATCTTTTGATAGCCCGTTGCTATAAAGTGTTCCGCACACCACGAAAACGCAGAGCTCAAGTATAAGAAACACTTCTAGACCTGTCTTTTTCTTCTTGTTGGGCGTCATCTTGGTGAACCTGCACGCGAAGAGTATCAACACGCCTCACTTCCCTGCACTAATTGAGAGCAGTTTATCTAATAAGATCAATTTACATCCTTGATGTTCATACAATCTGTCATCACTTAAAATATCTTTCGCAATATCCGTTCTGACTGAGGGTAGAGGTAGATGGGGTTGTCAAGTTAAGCACGTGTGGAGTTTCCAAGCTGTGCAAGCTTGGCACAGTAATCGAATACATGAATACTAAAATGTGATAGTTAACTCAGAGGTAAAAGTATCGAAGATATCTTTCAGCGACTGGTGGAAAAGACAGAGAAATCACAGGATTTTCGATACAAGGGTGGCGTAACTTTATCTCCCGAAATACCCTTTCGTTGCCCTGTCAGCTGCGCATAATAAGTCCCATGAATCGTAAAATAAAGAAGTTCCCAGGTCACAACTGATCGAAATAAGATAGAGGCGAACAGGACATGTCAAACGACGAGAGAAAATATAGACACCCGCTTTGAAACTAAAAAGGAACATTCAGATCGAGAGCCAGAAATTTTTTATTATTATAACATTTTTGCCATAGTCTTACCAAATACCTTCTTGGTGGTCTGTCTTCACAAGGGGTCAAGGACCCCTAACAGAACTTCCATTGGCCTCTTATTTTATATCATTTACTAGTTTTATTTTTATTTTTACTTTTGAAAGAATAAAGGATAAAGAATAGTAATTAATTATTTTTGGTCAAATTAAGCTCGATGGCGACGGCTTAAAGGGAGATCTTTAGTAAAAATTTGGTCAAATAATAAAGAAACCAACTGTAAAATACTAGTTTTAAGCTACAGATTTTTTTTTTTACTTTACTCCTTGAAGATTAAGATCGCATCAAGAACTCCATAATTGATGGGTAATATAAGAAGAAGGAGCATTGAAGAATTCAACGGTTTTGGTTTGTGTAAACTTTAAAACTAAAAGGGGAGGAGAATTTAAGGCTTAGATGTTTAGTCTGGTGTTTGGTATATCTGTTGCATTCAGTAAAACGGCGCCAACACTTTATCATTAACTGGATTTGTCTGTCTGTAAACATCCGGATAAATTCAATTTCCACCGCCCGAGCGGAAGTGGAGGGGGTGGGGAGAGACTCCATGATAAAGAGGGCGGATCTTTTCACTTCGCTTAGAGGTACAAATTTTGTTTTAATCAGGGTATTATAGGCACAACACCTTTATATTTAGCCATAAATCACAAACCGAAGTGAGGTAAATTGAGTCCATATGATGACCAAAGGACTAAGTAAGATGAGGAAATTATTCTAATTATTTCCTAATCATTCCTTAACTGTCTGACCAAGGATGTCACATACACATCCGGCTCTGTAGATGAGCAGATTTTTTTCAAATTATCAGCTGAAACATCACCCATTTGGTTAAATCAACTCTGTAACATGGCCAAAATATTGATGCTTATTTTGCTGCTGGGAGAAATTTCTCTGCAGAAAAGTTAAGTCCATATTTCTTATTACATTTGTAGTTGCATCTAAATTGAAGCATCAGATGTTTGCTAAACAATTTAGCTATAAAAAATTGCGATAAGATCGAAAAGTTTAAAAAAAAAAAAAAAAAAAACCATCTTGGGGTTAAAGAAAAATGCGACGACGTTTAAAAGTTCGCTTAACGTCGTTATCAAGTCAATAACGAGTGTTATTATACATTGTAGCCACCATCTGTCTTTTCTAAACACCCACAGTTAATTCTAAGAAACAGTGGAACCTACAGATTATTCAATAATCTGTACCTACAGATTAGTGAATAATCTGTAGGTTGCGTGCGCAATACATGATTTCCGGTGGAGCAATGTCAAGTTCACGGACAGCGAAGTAAGAATGGGTTCTCGATTCGCTTCATCGATCCAGCGAGAAATTGAAAAATTAGTTGAAGATAAAGATTTGGAAAATCCTAAAAGATCGACAAAAGTGACCAAGGAACTGTTCTACCCTGTTCTACCGCAGTATTATCGGCATTAGCCTTCGGCTTCGGTAACACTTATCTTGACCTGGATTCTCTTAGGAATTCTTTTACATCTATATTCGTTCTCATTTTAAACAATTATTGAATGATGTTTTTGTGATATCCGGAATAATCAAGGTCAAGGTTGGTGTTATCAAGTGTTATCAGCCTCAGCCTTCGCCTTCGGCTGATAACACTTACCTTGACCTTGATTATTCCAGATATCACAAAAACCTCAGTCAATAATTGTTTAAAATGAGAACGAATATAGATGTAAAAGACCTCCTAAGAGAAACGGATAATAAAATTGAAAATATGTAAATACGTAAATAACAAAGATACATCAGGGATGTTTTTTTATTAAACTTGATGAAAGGGCATTATGATATGGATATTTCTGATAAGTTATTTTTCTGTAAAGATCGTGGTTTGGATTATAATTGAAGGAAGAGTGATTCTCTTGACCTAGTCAGCATGTATAGTAGAACAAATATTTTTAAATATAGCTTTTTTATCCGTATTATTAATGAATGAAATAGTTCACCAAAATCACAAAAAATAACAAAAATTATGATAAAATGCTTAAAAGTCGACAAAAATGTGTTAAAATATCTAATAAAAATGTAAGAAAAACTAGAGGATACACACTATGATAACGATATTTTATCACGAAACCCGCGTATCTCCACTAAAACGGGACCGAAGCTCTGCGTGCCGTCGCGCTAGTTTACTGACGAGATTGACGGGAGATAAAAATAATAACTGCTAATGTGGGATAAATTGGCCACAATAGTGACGCTTTTATTTCACCCCACATCAAGAACATTGATATAATAAACATCACGCAATCCCATATTTCACTCTAATCATCAAAAATACTTACAAACAAATTAAGATAAAATCATTAAAAATCAAAAAATACATGAAAATGTCGACTAACAAAATATCTAAAAAAAAAGAAGCTAACTGACAAATGGCAGCCTCTTAACTTTGAATATCTAGGTCTACATTAGTAAAATCCAATTTGGGCCTTCTAATTGTTCTGGATCGTCTTAGGCAGATTAAGGCTGATCTTAAGAATGCAAACGAAGTTTTTGCCCTGATCCAGGAAATTGTCTTTGAATAGTGCTCTAATTTCTTGTCCGCAATGAGTTCTGCAAGGCGACTGTGATACCTCAAACATTCTTGGCCCATTCCACCAGTCGAGGTAAACACAAGAGGCGTAAATGAGCCATGTTCGGTGTCTAGAACACGTCTTGAGTAGGAACGTTTCTTCTCATTCTCATGCATACGGTAAATCTCCTGCGGTTTCAGAGATTTGCACGATTCAGCGTTTGGGTGACAAACTCGAATATCGAAAAATGCAGATCGATTGTCTTCCCAGAAACCACGAGCATGAATGTATAACCTTGAATGAAATAGTCTTCCTCATAATATAAATGATTCTGTCAGTATTTCTCGCCTTAAACCACAGAGGGCCCACTCAAGCGGCGTGTCTGGTCGTTTGTTCGAAATACAAAGAAATGTATGGGAGAATATTGAAGAGTCATAATATCGTAAACTTATATCAAGGAATGTCTATGTTAAGGCTCAAAATAAATGTAAACCTTCCTCACTTGCTGTGTATTGTCGTTTCTGTGGTTCTAAATGGCGAATTTGAGCAATTTGGTAGATTTTGCGTTGACTGTTACTCTACTGTATAAGAAGGAGACAAGGGTGGAAAGCTCATTTTCGACTGCTCCGCTTTCGAAGCCGATTTTTACCCAGAAATTAGAATCGCCCGGCTTCTAAATCAAACACCAGATAAACTAAAAGGTTGACGCTTCATCTCGTGTCATTCAATCGAAGATCCATTCAAAATCCAAGCGCTAACCGCCAAAAACCTTTCGAGAAATGCAGCTTTCCACGCGATCGGCATCCGCGGCACAGATTTGCTGTGCCAGGGAGTAACCGTCACGCTGTTTTCTCCACACTAATTGGATAGTGGTAAACAATACCCTGTTTCAAATGCCTCATGTGAGAGTGGAGTCAGGGGCATATTCGCGCCGGCGATTCATCTACTGACTAGCCTGGCGTGAGGTTTATGGCGCGTGACGGAAACCCTACACTACCTCAAACCTCTTTGCTCGCGTAACCCAATGAGCTCTGAGAGGATACTTGTGATTATTTTCGAATAACGGATTGAGCTGAAAGAGAAGGAAGGGTTGAACTGGCGATGTTTTCTGCGTTAAGAAAAAATGACAAATCCTGATGTCCACAAGGAAAGAAAAAGCTATGGACCTTCTGCTTCCATTTTAATATCCCTAAAGGCATGGTAAGTTTAATCTTAATATATCCAAATGTTCAAAAGCTAATCTTATTTAAGCCCATGTTTTCAGGTTTTTCCTGCAAGCAAAATTAAGTTGCCCACTTCGGCGCATTTGTATATTTTTAAGCTTCTGAGAAAGTATGAAATCGAGGAAGGGGCCTTCACTTTCAGACAAGATCTTTACGACCATGGAAGGAAAACATAATGCCATTATCGGAAGTCACAATAAAACTGATTTGTAGAGCGGTAGGCGAGTTGTGGTTCAGCGATATTATTTGCTGTCAACGAAGACGAAGTAAAATAAAGGAATGTCGTTACTGTAACTTAAAAAGAAAAACCAAAGGTAATGAAAATACTAAGGTGCGAAGACCACATGTATTCCATTCACCAGCTCGAATACTCTTCGGCTCGACATCCTCACTTCGCCCCAAATTATAGTGTCAACTCTTTTTATACTTTCTTCGACCAACTTGTTGGATACAGCTCTTACGATGACTAGTTTGAAGGGTAGATCGGTGGTCTATAAACCGTAATAGGCGTGAACTGTGGAAGTGCGTATCATGTCTGAATAACCACTGCCTGCAATGCCACTCGCACAAACTATTGAGATTTTTTTCCCCTGATCCTTCAAGCGATAGTACATGGCTCGCACCAAAAATGACTTCCCAGTTCCAGCTTGTCCCGTGAGAAGGAGATTGTGACCTCTTTCTAC